GCTAAGTTAGGCTTGTACGTGTAACGTTTCATCCTTACAAGTCCTGCTGTGAGTGAGAGAATCTGTGATGTTTGAGCGTGGTGCATGTTCCTAAAAGATGTGAGTCGCAATGCCAATTACTACGTCATGTTCGTGTTTGATAAACTGCTGTTTTAATATCTATCGCTAGGTTTCTCATTTTTTAGTTTAATTTCCGCTGTGAAGATAAAATAACGTCACTGAAAGGAAAGGTGTGCTTGATAACAGGTAACGTTCGCGTTCGCTTGTTGTACCGTACTTGTACTTGTAATTAAGTACCTGATTTTCTCTTCATAATATATTATTATAAGTTGCCGAGCTCTTTCCTAATGAAAACATTCACAAATAATTCTACCAGGAGTCTATCAATATCGATCAGTATCAGTATTGATTGACTCCTGATTCCACCCTTGGCATGAATCGTTATTTTTGCTTGCAGGGGCGAGCAGGGGTATTGGCGCAGAAATAGCCATTTGGTTTGCATCTCTTGGTGCTAAGCTAGCTCTTACTGGCAGAGACTTTGCTGCCCTCGAGAAAACTAAGCAGATTTGTGTCGAAAAGGGACTCGCAGAAAACGAGGTGTGTTATACATATATATTATTTTGAGAGCGTACTGTCTGTAGAAAAACTAATAAATAATTCGCCACTGTGGCTTTTTGGTGCCATTTTGAGTAAATGTATAATGCAATACTTGACTACTCCTAAAGAATAAATTTAAAAACACAGAATTTATTTTTCATAGATGGCACCATGTGGCAATTAAATCATAACTGAGTAAACACTAAAATGCGAACGTTGAGTCCCTTTCATAGCTCTAACAACTTATCAAGCGTGAATAAAAACAAGTTTGTTACCGCTGGAGCACCGCATGATTTATTTGCTCCATTACCGTAATAATATAACCTTTAATTCAAACCTAATGCCACAGGTGTTCCTCAGTGTTGGAGATTTAGCTGTTGATACAGATCTAGAGAGAGTCTTCAATGAATGCACTTCGTATTACAACGGCACGCTGGATGTCTTGGTGGGTATATACGTTTGACATACGGTATCGTGATGGTTATATGTAAAAATTTTACCGAAAAGTTGACAGCTAAACAGAATTCGCAGACAATTTCAAGTCATGTACGTCTACCTAATATTAACTTTCATATACTATCTCTCCAAACCTATATCCTAATCTTTCAGATCGCCTAGTGAAAATTAATGCACGGAATCCTAGTGTTACTGGATCGTGTTAAACAACTAGCTAGAAACGTTTGACAAAACTAATGCAACGACTCAAACCAAAAGGCCGTCTTCTTACCTGACACACGTGTCGGCCGGCTCCCATGTCTTCATAAGAAACAAAGGGTACGTAATCAATTGTGCTTATTAGCCGTGTTCCGTATTATCGAATTCACTTTATAAATGAGACCTGAATGCAACGAAACTTGCCCCAGCTTAGCCGTATTATAAAATGGTCCGAGCTTAAGCCATTTTTATGAGGTAAAGCGCACTGTGCACGACCACTATACTTATTATATATAATATACTTATATATATAATATATCTAACGCGACACACGATACCGACGCACCCACAACACACACGCCACACACGGATTTTTTTACTTCAAGCCACTTATAATTACGCATATGCACTGCGGATTGTACATGTTAAGTCTTCACTAATTGTATATTTGATTTACAGGAGTCATAGCTAAACGTCTTCTTATAGTGCGTCCCCTGGATTTAAGCGTCAGTGAGTAATCCAAAGCTTCATACAATGAAATCTATATCTTGATTAAACTATCTATAGGCTCCGCACGCACCTACGCCGCCCAAGCCGGACCCAACCCACAGCGGCCGCTGACGCGCGCAACCCCAAAAAATACAAGTGTGCCCCGCTAGAAACCCATATCTTATTTTTGTCTCTTTCTCTCTCATCTCCTCTCCTCCCTCTTCTCTCTCTCTCTCTGCTCTTCTTCCCCGTTCTATTGCTACTAATAATTGCTTATATCATGTACTCTACAATAATCTGTACATTGAACAAAGATATTTAGCCCCTCACAAATATCTAAATGCTAGCCGAATAAAATATTGCCCCAGATACCCGTATAATAATCAGAACAGACAGCAAACCGAAACCGATAACGGGAGTTCGCGTTCGAGATGTTATTCATTACCTTTATTGCCCAAGCATAAGCGACAGAAGCCAGCCAATCAGTGCGCGACTTAGAGAATAGAAGCCTGCCGCGAGTATTACTCCTACACTTGGAGTCCTTCCCCGACGTTATGATTATGCTCTCCTCCAGATTTCTATTACATGTATGGCAACGGTGGCTAGCTTCACGACCTACACGTGGCTCTCAGCCAGCAGGCTAAGCCCCCTGCACGGGTACCATACTCTTCGATCCGTCTCTCTCTCTTCTCACTCTTTCTCTCTCTCTCTCTTTCTCTCTCTCTCTCTCTTTCTCGCTCTTTCTCTCTATCTCTCTCTCTCTCTCTCTTTCTCTCTCTCTCCCTCTCTCCCTGTCTTAAAAACCAGATTTTAGGGAGCGAACCAAGTGCTTCTACCAATCACCCCACCAAGGGGAGCGAGGCACAAAATTTGCCAGGTGGCATTCGCTACGTTTTCCACATACAAGATGTTGCAAAGGAACCGGAATGATGCAATCCACTATTAGTCCACAACGGTTAGAAATGATGAAGTTGCTGATTTTTCAAAAGCTATTTCTCGAAACTGACAACGATTCCAAAAAAAATTTCCGTGGTAATGCTAAAATGTTAAAGGAAAAAACGATCCCTGGAATTTTTATGAAATATTATTTTTTAGAAGTTATGGCTCTTTGTTTACGAAATTGTTGTGTTTTAAAATTCATAACAAATTTTCGTCTATCTTTTCAACTTATTTCCAAAATTAAAGCATTTAAAAAAAATCCAATAACTTGTTTTTAGTTCATACTGTGATCAACTGATGGCTAAGAGTTTAGGTCCCAACTCTTTAATTGCTGTTCTGAGAAATAAGAAAATAATTATATTTTTATATAAATTCACAATTTTATCCGTCACGTAATTAGCGATCAAGTTTTTTGGATTATTTTCATCGCGAGCGTAGATAGACATATTTTTTATGAAATAGATATGAGTTTTATTGAATCTGATGAGCAGTTATGTTGCAATGCCCTTTGCAGAGGTACCTGTCCGTAACCCTGACTGTATCCTTAAGTCACGTACTGTTAGTAATAGTCCTGCGGTACATGTGATATATATCTATCAGCACCGCTCCAATAATTCTAGCATCCCATAAGTAAAAGTTAAATTATCGTTATAGTATTTTAAACATATGTACTTTTTCTTTTAGCCCCGGTTGCATAAAGACTGATGCACACAATCGCGAAGGATTCATGGATGACAAAGCATTAGCTGCGGTAGGTACAACCATACAAATGAACAAGTGCCGCAGAGCGACAGCGCTCAACTGACGTGTACTGTAGCCGGGTATTCTTCTGATAAACTCACTGGCAACCGAA